AGAAAGAAGAGAACCTCAAAATCCTGCAATATTTGCAATTAATTTTTAAAAAGAATTTTATTATTCCCAAATTGGCCATCTCTCCTATACTCCATAGGTCTATTCTAAGTCTTCCCATTCCTCCTTTTACTTGTTTCAATCCTCCCTCACAATCTTCACAGGATCATCTCTAGGCCTTCATAAAAGAACACCATTGAATTATCCTTTCTCTCTTAAATTCACCCATATTTCCATTCTTCCAAATAACCTAAGATTTTACACTTGTCTTCCATTTGTGTACCCCACAAATTCTCCCATTTGTGTACAATAGATTCTACAAGCCAATGTGGCCTTATAGAATCACATTGTCTGTATTTGAACCCCAAGTCCCATGTTTATTTTTGATCTTCAGTAGTTCCCTCAGCCTCTCTAAATATTATTTTCTTATTTGAAAAATAGAGTGACAAGATTACCTTCTTCAAAGAGTGGTACAGAAAGTTAAATGAGAGAATCCATATAAAATAATTAAAATATGACTTGTGCCTAGGAAGAACTCAACAAAAGTCAATTATCAGATAGATGCAGTTAAACTATGAAATATATGCAAATAATACAGAGGGCTTACACAAATCAGGTAACCATGTTAACTGGTTTGATAGAAATATACAAAACTGGCCTGTGCATCTTGTCATATGCAATAATTAATTAAATAATTAATTATTTGTTAATAAGCCATCAAGGACTATTAGCATAGACTCCAAAGCATTCAAAACCCAACAAGAAGAGGCATCTACTGGTCAATGATCATCAATAAGTATAGTAAGTGGAGTTGCTTAAGACACATTGAATATATGTCAATCAAATAATACATAATTTGTCCTTTAAAATATCCTTATTTGTCATCTGTGAAGAGTTATAGGTGGCCAAATCATTACTTTGAAAATTCCTAAATAATTCCCTGCCTTTCTTTTACAATTTATATCTCAAAGTAACAATTTTTTTGCTGTAAGTAAGAAATTTACTTATTTTTAAAAAATCCAAATGCTGGTATTGTCCAGAAAATTTTAACAGGTTTATTTATAATTGTTGTAAAGTTGAACTGCTGAAACTTATTCACTGGAACATTTGACTTGCATTAATGTTTTACATTCCCACAGTTATATTAAAAATTCACACGCAAATGAAAATGAAAAAGCGATGGATACCTGATTTCTGCCCCCTGTTTTTCCACTTGCAATCATATGCTTAGGTACTTTATGACCCCATGGGAAAAAATTATTATCATTCAGAACTACTGATAACAAGAAGAGGAGGAAAAAAGGATTTTTTGAGAATGAAATGTTTCCCATCCTAGCAGATTCCTAAGCACATTCTCCACGTTTGCGGCATGCTAGCTGGATATCTTTTGGCATAATTGTTACACATTTGGCATGGATAGCACCCGGGTTGGTATCTTCAGAAAGGCCAACCAGCTAGGTGTCACCTCCCTCCCGCAAAGCACCAATAGGTAGCTGTCCTCTGGAAGCGCAGATCTGGTTTGGTGTCCTGAGCGATTTCTCTCACCAAGCAAAGCAAGGGGGCGTCTGCGAATTAGAAGTTCGGTGGAGTAGGGACAGCATCTGACTTCACGGAGTCCCCAGTACTAGGCCTGTGAAGATGAGGTTCCTCCACCAATCCAGTAGAGGGCGCGCTCTTATGAGCTGCTTTTGTAGTCAGTTGTTTCCTGGGCGCTTTGGCACTGGTGGATTTGTGTGCGAGTCATCTGCTTAGTAGGAGCCATGGTACAGAGAACCTCTTACTCACCCCTTCTCCTTTCACAGGAGCTCCGCAAGCCAGAGAGGGTGCTGGCCTTGGAGAGCCGCGGTGCGGTGGCAGCTGCGAACACCTCAAAGTAACAAAATTGTTGATGGGAAAGTTTTAAAGCAGTATTCCAGTTAATAAAGGAAGAATAACAGAAGTACATTATCACAATTTTGTAACCTCTAATGACATAACACTTCTACACAATTATGATCAATTGCTGCTAACTGCAAAAAGAGCCACAACCTGACCTCATGTGTCTCTAGATTTTAAATAATCAAAACATTCCTTGAAATACTATTTTCAAAAAATTGCACAGGAATGTATCAAAATCATAAATCAATTAGTGAAACCAGGTATGATGGTACATGCCTGTAATCCCACCTACTTAGGAGGTGATGGCAGTTCAAAGGCAGCCCATGCAAAAAGGGAGACTCTGTCTCAAAATAAAATAAAAACCAAAGGGCTGAGGGAATACCTCAAGTGCTAGAGTGCACAGGCCCTAGGTTCAATACCCAGCACTGCAAAGAAAAATAAATGTAATCAATATACAGGGAATGTAGAGGAAAAGCAAGGAATATTTAAAGCTATACCACATGGATACAGTCAGTAAAGTTGAGAATGTAAAAAAAAAATCCATCACCAACTTTCTTCAATGAATAAATAACATTTAAAAAAGGAGGAATGAGGATGTGTAGATTTAGGAAGACTTAAAAGATGTATTTAAAAAGCTGGGCAAGGCTGGAGATATAGACTATGCGTATCAGGGACAAGGCTCTGGCTTCAATCCCCAGAACCGAAAGAAAAGAAGAAAAAGAAGCTAGAGAGAAATTGAAATGTAGTGTTTGAGTACACATATTATTTCTGTGATAAAACAATCCAGAAAATTTTATAAGTGATCACCATAAATGTCAGGATAGCAGTCGCATTTAAGAGTGGAGGGAGTAGGTTGATTGGACAGGGCAAAGGGAGGCCTTTTGCATTGGCTGGAAAATTGGTATGTATTGACTTGGATGGTGGTTATAATTGATTTCTAAGTCAATAAGCTATAATTTTGTTTTATGTGATCCTCTGTCTTTGTGCTATATCATAAAATGTTTTTAAATGAGGGAAATGTTTAATTAAGCAATGGTTGGATATCATCTACACTTTTTAAAAAGCCTTTAGTGCTCTGTGACTCAAGTGGTAGAGCGCCTGCTTAGCAAGTGTGAGGCCCTGAGTTCAAACCTCAGTGCCACCAAAAAAAAATTAATCAAAAAAGCATTTAGAGAGAATATGCTCTTGTTTACTGATAAACCCTTTAAAGTTGTAGGCAGAGAGACTGGAGAAAAGGACCCACAGCAAAACAAAAAACTTTTGTGCAATCTCAATTTCACTGGATACAACTCCTTCAATGTTTCTCTCTCTCTTATGTTGGCCTCCCTCCCTCTGAGCTCCAAGAATGATGGATTGTGAGGACATCCACCCACTATTTATCATTTTTCCATTAAGGCTCTAAAAGTGAAGTATCTTTGGTACTCTAGCAGACAGAGATATTACCAATTGGTAATCAGGCCAATATTTTCATGACCAATGCAGTCTACCGTGGAGAAAGCAAAATTCTGGATCTGTCCTGCTTCCTTACCTGTGTGAACACAGCACCTCAACCTTGACAGATTCTCCTAGAGATGTTTTCCTAGGTTCACAAAATGTCCAAGAAAACCCCAACACATGTCCAAAGATCTCTGCACATTTCACTCCTTAGTTCTCCTATTCATTGTTAATAGACATGCACATTTCCTTTAAGTCACATAAATAATTAAGCCATTACCAGAGGCAAAAGAATGAAGGGATTTGATACTGAAAAGTTTGGGAACAACATTGAGCTAGTAAAATAGTGGCAGCTCCACACTGAACACATCAAGGGTTCAAATCTGGTAGACATAGAGCTGTCTTTTCCTGCCCCTAAAGTCTGGAGATCACAATTCTCAAGTTATAAATCAGAAACTTGGTTTTATAAGTTTGCTTTTCTCTTGCATTTATTTAAAATACAAGTCTATGACTCCATCTTATACTAGCAATTTGTATAATTCCCTGTTTTCCCGGTAGCTCGCACCTGTAATCCTAGCTACTCAGGAGGCAGAGATTAGGAGGATCACAGTTTGAAGCCAGCCCAGGCAAATAGTTCATGAGACCCTATCTTGAAAAAAACTCATTACAAGAAAAAGGGCTGGTGGAGTGGCTCAAGGTGTAGGCCCTGAGTTCAAGCCCCAGTACTGCAAAAAAAAAAAAAGAGAAAAGTTTGCTACAAATTAAGATAATTTACAAACCAAGGTCATCTAGGCTTTGGCTCAAATGTTAACTCTTTCTGAAGATGATATTCTATTGAGTAGGGCTTTAAGGATTTTGTCTACCTCAGAGGTCATAATTGGCTTTAATTGGGTAATTACTGGCACTGATTCTTAGATCAACCCAGCAACAGCAGTGAGTAGGTTTTTCAAGTCCCCCAGAATGAGGCAGGAAAACCTGTGGCCTATGAATACACTGTATGCTCTGCAGAGGTGTGGGTAAGTAGGACAGGTACACCCAGAATACAGTTGATTGGAAAAACACCAGTGACCTGTGTCCACAGAACAGTAGGCCATCCATTGTTCATGTACCTGCATATGAAGTGACTAGAAGCTTCACGAGGACAAAGCTTTGCTTGGAAATTCTTTCCATGCAAACAGCCAAGACACTTGACATGAAAAAAAGATTTGGAACTGCATTCTTACATTGCAGAAACCATCAGCAGATGTTGCAGGGCCCAGTCGAATTGGAAAATACAATGGTCTTTGGATTTCAAATTAGTGATTTTAAGTTGCATTTCATAAGTTCAGCTACATCTTCTATGTGTTTTATGAGTCCTGCTTAGTCACTAATTATTTTCCTCTTTGGTTGTTGGTTTCTGGGTAATTAACTCATATCCTGCCTCCCATTTGTACCACAGTTCTCATTTTCACTTGAATTTTTGAGTAGAATTTTAAGTCAGTTGTGTCTATCTATGGTTTAATCATTGGATTGCTCTTCAAGTTGTTCTCCCATGTCGTGTGAACAAAACAAAATATAAATTTTCATTTTAAAATTGTACTTTCGGATTTAGCCCCTGGCTGGGAACTATGTAGGCCCAGTCTACGGATGGCAGTGAGGGGTCAATCCACCACCAGCGTTGGGTCGGGGGTGGAGGAGTCGGAAGTGGTTGGGGTTTTGGGGGAGGAGATCCGCTCACACACTAGAGGAGAGTGTTTAGCCGCCATATCTGCTGCCGCCGCCGCAGTTGCGAATCAGCATCGCCGCTTAGCTGCCTCCGCTGCGCAGCTAAGATTCTTGTCGCTATCCAGTGGTTCTTCGCTGTTTCTGCTTTACTCCCGCCAGTCTAGCCCGCTCTTTCTGATCTGGCTACCCCGTTTGCTTCTCCGCCACACATCAGCTCCTGTGACTATGGATCGGGGGAGAAGCAGCAGCGATTCGGCACCCGACTGCTGGGACCAGGTGGACATGGAATCCCTGGGCTCAGCCCCAAGCGGGGATGGAATCACCTCTGCAGTAGCAGAGGCCCAGCGCGAGCATCTCAGCTCGGCCTTCAGCCGTCAGCTCAACGTCAACGCCAAACCCTTCGTGCCTAACGTACACGCCGCGGAGTTCGTGCCGTTCTTTCTGCGGGGCTCTGCGCAGCCGCCCACCCCCCTGGCTGGCTCCGCCAGCAGAGATGAAACCTGCACCGACGCGGGAGACCCTCAAGGTAAAAGGCTGGGACGGGGGGCACCTGTAGAACCTCCCAAAGATGAACCCTTAGTGTCGTGTGAAGGTTCCAATTCAGCTGTTAGTATGGAACTTTCAGAACCTGTTGTAGAAAATGGAGAGGTGGATATGGTCCTAGAAGAATCATGGGAGCACAGTAAAGAAGTAAGTGAAGCAGAGCCTGGGGGTTGTTCCTTGGGAGATTCAGGGCCTCCAGAAGAAACCTGCCAGGAAATGATGGAGGAGAAAGAGGAAATAAGAAAATCAAAATCTATGATCGTACCCCCAGGTGCTCCTAAGAAGGAACACGTAAATGTTGTGTTCATTGGGCATGTAGATGCCGGCAAGTCAACCATTGGAGGACAAATAATGTTTTTGACTGGAATGGTTGACAAACGAACACTTGAGAAATATGAAAGAGAAGCTAAGGAAAAGAACAGAGAAACTTGGTATTTGTCCTGGGCCTTAGATACAAATCAGGAAGAACGAGACAAGGGTAAAACAGTAGAAGTGGGTCGTGCCTATTTTGAAACAGAAAAGAAACATTTCACAATTTTAGATGCCCCTGGCCACAAGAGTTTTGTCCCAAATATGATTGGTGGTGCTTCTCAAGCTGATTTGGCTGTACTGGTAATATCTGCCAGGAAAGGAGAGTTTGAAACTGGATTTGAAAAAGGTGGACAAACAAGAGAACATGCGATGTTGGCAAAAACAGCAGGGGTAAAACACTTAATAGTGCTTATTAATAAGATGGATGACCCCACAGTAAATTGGAGCAGCGAGAGATATGAAGAATGTAAAGAAAAACTGGTGCCCTTTTTGAAAAAAGTTGGCTTCAGTCCCAAAAAGGACATTCATTTTATGCCCTGCTCAGGACTGACTGGAGCAAATATTAAAGAACAATCAGATTTCTGTCCTTGGTACACTGGATTGCCATTTATTCCATATTTGGATAGTTTGCCAAACTTCAGTAGATCAGTTGATGGACCAATTAGGCTGCCAATTGTGGATAAGTACAAGGATATGGGTACTGTGGTCCTGGGAAAGCTGGAATCAGGATCCATTTTTAAAGGCCAACAGCTTGTGATGATGCCAAACAAGCACAATGTGGAAGTTCTTGGAATACTTTCTGATGATACTGAAACTGATTTTGTAGCCCCAGGTGAAAATCTCAAAATCAGACTGAAGGGAATTGAAGAAGAAGAGATTCTTCCAGGCTTCATACTTTGTGACCCTAGTAATCTTTGCCATTCTGGACGCACGTTTGATGTTCAGATAGTGATTATTGAGCACAAATCTATCATATGCCCAGGTTATAATGCGGTGCTGCACATTCATACTTGTATAGAGGAAGTTGAGATAACAGCCTTAATCTCTCTGGTAGACAAAAAATCAGGAGAAAAAAGTAAGACACGGCCCCGTTTTGTGAAACAAGATCAAGTGTGCATTGCCCGTTTAAGGACAGCAGGAACTATCTGCATCGAGACATTTAAAGATTTCCCTCAAATGGGTCGTTTTACTTTAAGAGATGAGGGTAAGACCATTGCAATTGGAAAAGTTCTGAAACTGGTCCCAGAGAAGGACTAAGCAATTTTCTTCATGCCTCTGCACGATACTATGAGGAGAACTGACTGCAAAAGTTCACCACCTACTGTTACTTACTGCCCATTGACAGACTTTTCTCCATATTTTGCAGAGAAATTTCATAGCAAAAATCCATGTTTTGTCGACTTTTTCATGTTGAGATCTGTTATGTTACTATTGAATTTACTCTCAAGTTTCCTCCTCCTATGCCACTCTGCTTCCTTGGACAGATCAGTAATAGCTTTGTAAGTGATGTGGATGTAATTGCCTATAATAATGAAAAATTAATATGTTTTTAATTTTTCATTTTCCTTTAGGATATCTAGACATCCCTTGTTCCATACAGACCAAATCAAGAGTGTGTCAGTGTGTGTACATGTTAAAGAAGATAACTAACGTGAATAAAATATTCCATTTAAAACTTTGGTATTTGAAATGCTTTTGAGTAATGTTTACATTTGTCTGTAATGCTATTCCATTATCTTTCTTACTTTCCCAAGCTATTGAATGCATTTATTACTTGGGTTTTAAAAAAATGTTCTCCACTCACTTTAAAATGAGGAATTTCAAATACTAAAGGAAAAATTTCAATTTTGAAAAGAAATTACCTTAGTGCTCTTATCAATGAACTTCGTTTTCTGTGTCTCCTACCTCCCCAATTATGATTTGAAAGTTAAAGGCCCAGGCCATCGTATTTATATGCTATTGGGTCCTGTAATGTTGAACATGGCCAAATTACATATATACCCGGGGATTTAGACCATATGTTGGCTAGACTCTTATCTGTACTCCATCATCTTAACACACCCCTTTGTATTGCTCACTAGGAAACTTGTGGTGTGGGACACAACACAATAAGGGCTGTTGTGAATTTAAGTGCTTGCAACAGGGCTCTAGGTCATTTAGTAAAATGTGTTAATGAAGGTCCTGACACAGGAAATGAGCCCATTCTACCCTTCTACCATTCAGTGCTTGGGGTTGATAGGAAAGGTGAAAGTCATTTTCATAACAGATTACAACCTACTCTTGGAGTCAGAGGTAGTAGACATTTCTCTGAACAACTTGAAGAAACCATCAATTGTGTATTCTCAGGTGACTACATTTATTTCCAGGAAAATAACTTTATAATCTGCATAACTATCAACAGCTGAAGAATTTTTCGGTCTTGGTAAGTGGATAGTGGTCCAGAGCAAACATCTATCCAATGGTGGGTAGAGGCAGTTTCTCTTAGGCACAGCGGTATACCTGGTGTAAGAAACTGGCTTTGGCAAACCTCAAACTCATGGGCTGGCCAAACAGGTGTGCAGACTGCTGCCACAACACCCTAGACCCATGCTCAGGCAAATGTAGTGTCCCCTTCTCTATGGTCCATTTTTTTGTGTACCCATGTGCATCCTGGGTGTCTAACATCACATAGTCACTGGTCTTGTCAGAGTGTCAATAGCATGACTCTATTGTGCATCATCCATCACAGATCATCAGAGCACCCATATGACAAATAGGGGAGTTTTAGTTTATCAGCTAACCTAATCCATAGGGATGTACCTCACACTCTCATGGACCCAATCCTTTAATCATTAATGTCAGTGTCAACAGTTTCATTTTTATTATAAGAGTTCTTTCTCTTGGTTCTGTGTGCTGAACTTTGTATAAAATACAGACCAGTCTAGTGCTTGATAAATGTTTTGTCTTGGCAGCCATTTTTTTAAGTTATTTTGGGTGCTGTATCAGTGCCATTGTTTTGTAATTTTAGCCATTTACTAAATTTACACAAATGGTGTCGGTGTATATATCTTGCACTGATAAGCCAAATATAAGCCAGTAAAGAACTCTTGTTTCCATCCAACTTGGATAATTTTCTGTCAGAATCTAGCACTGGCTCCTAAATGTGTATCTGCACACACACAGAGAAAAAGACAAATCTTTAGAAATAGATTTTAGAAACAAATTCTTTGCAATTCAGTGAGAAAAAGATCATCCAGGCTGTTGGAGATACCAGACTGGCTCTTCAAGATCATTGATAAAACCAGCATACTAGTCCATGCTTATAATCCCAAGTGCTTGGGAGGCTGAGGCAGGAGAAACACAGGTACAAAGCCAGCCTAGAATACATAGTGAGACCCTATCTCAAAAAAACAAACAAAAACCAGACATAGGAACATTTCTTTCTTACTTTCTGGATACTTTGTTAATATGTGGTGTTGTTCTCCAGCACCCCAAACTAGTGCCATTCACAAACACCACTAGTTTCCCTAAGGCATCCAGCTGCTTATAAAGTCATTCAGGGAAGTGTTCCTTCAGAAGTTTCCTATTGTCTCCAATTCAGACAAACGTAACTGTCTTTGGCCTTCTTCTCAGATTCCTAGGAGTCAAGATTCCACAAGTACATTATGAAGTCCCCACTTCTGGCTTTCTCAGAAGTCTACCCGTTGGCTTTTAGCAACTTTTCAATCAAGACCCCTCTTTATTTCTCTGGTCATTATGGGATAAATCTGAGGACATGTAAGGAGAGGGACTAACTTGTTCTATTCTTCCAAGAAGGAAAGAAGGGGAAAATCTGGGCTAAGTAAACACCACATTGTTCACTTTAAGCATCTTTGGTACTCAGGGGAAATTTCCAGTGCTTTTACTACTGACTAAGGTCCTCAAAAGACAAACCCTCTGTCAACGTACACCCTCCGTTCACAATATCATGATTCTGGTTCACTATAATACAAGAAGCTGTTCTTTTTAAAGTTTACTTTAAAACATTTGGCAGTACAAATAGCACTTATTTTAGTTAAATTGGACTGTAAAGTAATAGGATTAGTTACCATGTTCTTTTCATTAAAAAAGAAACTACCCAACAACCACAGAAGTTCTGTCCAAACCTGAACATTTGAACATGTTCTCACATTGACCCAGTGCCTAGGTTCATGTTTAGTGTTTATATTTTCTGTTGAGACTTGGTGTATTCCCAGTTTTTTAGTTTTCAGTTACAATATCTACTTGTAGTTAGCCATTGGAGAATTTGATGCACATTTTCTCCTCAGTGACACCACTTATTACTTCCATGGGGTGGGGAAATGAACTTGTGTTAAATTTAGGAGAAACTTTTTGGAAGCATCTGGTGTGTATATTAATGTTCCACAGGCCACCAAAATTGGAAAGGGAAAAGGAAAAAATAAGAACCTACTGATGAACATGCTATGAAACAGAAAATAAAAAGGAGGGGAAAGGCTTTACTTACATACCAGAGGGAACAGTTCACAGTTTTATAGTATAGCCTGTAGAATGTTGAATATTGGCTCCCCCCACAGTCCTATTCTGCATTTGATATGTCATATTGTTTTGTAGGAAATTTGCCCAAATTCTAGGGAAATTTTCTTTTCTCATTAAAATTGTTTGATTTATTTTTATGAGTCAGTATTGAAATACAGTTTAAATGCTAAAAGTGGGGGTTCAGCAAAGTCCCTTATTAATATTAACTGGAATTTGCAAGCATAATTTGCAGGCATTTCTCAGCTCACTAATATCTTCATTATTTTCTCTTTGCTGAACTTACTCAAAAGTCCAAGTAGACAACATTGAAACCTGGCCTCAGTTTTAGCATGAGAAGATGGAGATTGGTTCATAGTCAAGCTGCTGTACACAATCATGCCACTGCATCTCTCACTTAATATATGTCCAGTTACAACTTTTCTTTTACATCCGGGCTTCCTATATTCCCTAGCAGAGGCTTAGATAAATTATCTTCTTCTGAGACTGTTTTTACTTGTTCTACTGCAGTCTAACGGTGACCTTTGCCATGCCAATAAATTCACAGAAAAAAAAAATATTGTCACATTGCAAGTGACCAAGAATTACCCTCAAAGACTCTGCAAGTTTAGCAGGCATTCCCTGGATTAAATGTTAATGTTTGATCTATACCCTTGTATTTATTTTTACATTGCTTTAATGGATGCTCTTATGACATACTTAGTTTTCATGAGTAGGTGAAATAAAATGTACTACAATTTTTAAACATCCTAAGACTTAGATCCTGAGTGGTGTTAATGACAGAATGCTCCATTTCCTTCCATGGTCTCCAATGCTTGATAAACAAAACCTCTTCTCTGAAAGGACCGATTATTCACAAGCATAAATTTCATACCTTTAGGAAGGGAATACAGAGAGTTTGAAGATCAAGAGATACATTTAAGGCGGCTTTTACCTTAAAATACAGTGATTGAATAGAGGTAAGAAGTGGCTTCACAAGATCCTGGTGGTGAATAAGCATAATGCTTATAATGACCAAAAGTTAACAATTCAAGAACTGTTTGCTTTCATCGGTAGTATACCTTTCAAGGCCTTGAGGGAAGTTGGAGGCATGAGAAAGGCAACAGGAATTTCCTAGCAGAATCTGAGCTGTTGCCCCCATATAGTTAGGGGAGGAATGCACATCAGATTCATTCTGTAAGACAAAGAAGTGAAAACTGAAGGCAATAATGGCAGCATGGAAGTCAATTCTGAGGATAATGAGATAGCCAGGCCTCACAGATCCCCAAGTATAAATGTCAGATCCCATATTATCTACTAATGTCTGACTGAGTTAGTGGGACAGAAGATACCACCTATGACCTGAGTATGCAGACTGTTAACAGCTACTATGAAAGACAAGTTCTGCTCTGGGCCACTGATGCTGGGCCCCAACTCTGCCAATAGTTCTCATCATCAGAGAAGTGGCCAGAATTAAAATATATTGTTTGTATGGAACGGGTTGAACTGACCAAAGTAAAGTATACTCACAGTGAGGATACATTGAGAAACCCCTTTGAATATCGACTTAGATATTAATAACGAAAGACAGGAAGTGTAAAATAGGTACAGTGAATATATATGTGTAGGGGGGTACTTTTGGGAAGGGGAGGAAAGAGGGTGAATGAAGGAGATTAAGGTGAGGGAATATGGAATATTGATGGACTTCATATACTTCTATATATTTCTTTGAAAATAAGTATAATTATACTTCATACTTCTATGAAATAGAACAACAAAACCTCTTGCAATTGCTTTAGTTGGGAAGGAGGGGGTTAAGGGGGAGATGATTGGGGCGATCTAGCCTGTGTACAATGTAAGCCTATTTGGAATTGTCACAGTGAATCTCTCCTGTACAATGAATATATCCTAATAAAAAATTAATTACAAATGTATATTCTGCTCATGACAGGGAATATACCTAGCACTGTGCTGAGCAAACAATGGGCTTCTTTACTTTTCCCTGCTGATATTTCCCAGGGTGATCTGGTCATCCACAGAAGTGACTATGGCCCATGGCAGAGGAGAAAACCAATGCCCCCAGTCAGAACCCTGATCCCTCCTGTGAGCCTCTGGTCCCTCATGCATAACATGGAGGCAATGTCAATTATTTGCTTTGTCAGACTATTTTGAAAACTGAG